CCAAAAAATGGAGGGGGTCCCAACGAGATCTTTGCGCCGTACAACGTAACTCGTCGCGCTGATTCCGAATATGCAAAAATCTCGGTTGACGCATCTCTAGAAAAAAACCATCAAATTTTGATATGAACTGTATTTTGTCTATTTTATCTTTAACATACATATCGCATTTGAAGAGTCGAAAATAGTACTTAACCGAATGCCTCTTTACTCCTCCGTGCTCACTTATTTTTAGAAGATAACATGCTATTATTAGAGTGCCGTTTGGCGCACGTACATTATTTCAATTTTTTAATGTCGTTTATTTACTGACAAATATCTACTTGTTCTATTATAAAATTCAATATTTTTCATTTCTTATGTATGTTGATCACCTAATAAGAGAAAATAATAGTGTATGAATAATTTATACAAGCTTTGCAACATTTCTCTATTTGATGGCTGAGCACCGTCACAAATTAACATAAGCAAGATCAACCAATTTTCTTTAGTATATTTGAAATCAGGAAAGTTTATTTCTAGCTCAACATTCCTTCAAAGTTAAGACTAGAAACACTCTAAAATAATAACAATGATTACTTATCATCCCAGACTCAGTGGCGGATCCAGCCCGCGAGCGGTATGAGCGGCCGCTCGTACCTTTTAACCAGGAAACCTGTTTTTCCCCAACAGATCTCTCTTAGAATAATTTGTTTCTATGACGACCGCACGTACTAAAAAATAATTCTGGATCCACCACTGTCCAGGCCAGAGTCTATTTCAAAGAAAATTATTTTCGTTTAGTTAACACTTTCTACTTAATTAGTAATTTTCGGATACTTCGTGAATATCAGTGTTGTTTTTTCGATTAAACCACTGAAAATGGTTTATTTACTGTCTTCAACGTTGAACAATATTCTTATCATGAAGAAAGAGATTTTTAGAAAAATCAGAGAAGAGCTAAGATGAAAAATTCCGAGTGAAAATTCTTTTCTCAAAACGTAACCAGTTATACATGATTCGACGTAACTTAATGAGCTGATTTCAAAAATTAACTAGAACGCTTTAAAAATAAAAAAAATGGCGTGAAAAACCTTGGATTTTAAGAAAATTGCTTGTAAGCGTACGAACATTTGGGCATTTTTAGTCTAATTATATATATGTATGTTGGACAGATAAGAATATTTGTACAAAGTTTATTCAGTGAGAGCTGACAAAACATTTGGAACCTTTGTATAGTGGAAAACCTTGTTTGTTCAATGATATTAACACTAAAGTCAGTTTTTTCTGCGCAAAATGTAACAAAAACATGAAGCTTTGTTGTTAAAATTACGTTCGTTTAAATTGCAAAAATATTATACTACTCGGATAATGTTGAGCATTTCTTTTAGAAAGTTTTCTACAATGAATTTTTCCGTCGTTCCAGTAAACACTGTCCAATAAGAAAAATTAGAAACGAAATACCTTCACTTCTTAACTAAATTTATAATAGCTATGCATAAAAGTTAGTCAGAATTTAACTCATTTATACGTCCAACATGTTTTTTGATATCTACTTTTCCAGTTTATTAAATTTATAATTAACATTGACATGAAGTATCGTTGCGATTCTTCTTCTAACAAGAAAAAAAAGCAAAAGAACTTTCTTAATTATCATAAAGTTTGTTCGCATTCATATGAACAAAGCCCAGCAAAACACATTAACAACAACAAAGAGAAAAAAATGACATATTCAAAAAGTGAAATTAAAAATAGTTTTTCGTAGTAACCATCCAACATCGCCTGATTAATGTTTATGTCCACTTGTGATACAATTTGCACTTCATATATCAACTGTTTCCACGTGTGCCGAATGACCACCAACTGCTTTCGCTTGTGTCGTTATGACGGTTGTTGTTGTTGATTGCATACGACGTGATGCATCATCGGCAGCCAATGCAGCAACTTGATCTGTAATTTTTTCTATTTTAACATTACCAACTACTTGAGCTTCTCTCAACACATTCCTGAAATGAAACGGTTGTAAACCAAGACTCTACAAATAGCTAGAATCATACCCATCATTTTTTTAATAAGGAAAGACTACCAGTGCAAAAGAAAGTTTTTGCAATATGGGATTCTCTTAAGAATCTCTTTTCTCAAGAAAGAACTCAGGTCTCTTTACTTCCATCTGATTACGAGCCTATATAAATCTTTCTTCCACTATTAAAGTCGAGTATGATCGACTGATGCATTTTCTTCTGATCATTCAATTCGTACTTTCAGTAAAACATGAATACACATACATTTTTAATCGATTTGCTTCTTCATTTAAATCATCAATACGCTTTCGTGCATTTTCTAATATTTGTTCTTGTCGTAAATTTAATTCTTTTTCTAATTGTGCTAACAATTGTGCTTTATCGGCATCTAATTTTTCAACATAAACTTGTAACTTTAACTTATGTTCTTCTTCAATTCCAAGTGAACGAACATTAGCATCTTGTAATAATGTTACTTGTTGTGCTTGTGTTTCAGCAACAATTTTTCCGATTGATTGTTGAACAGCATCACTTATCTCCTCTAAACGAAAAAAAAAGCTTATACTGTTGTCTAGTCAGACTCATAAAAGAAATATGATTGCCTTTTTACGAACTCAGATGTAAAATCCCTTTTTTGATATAGCATAGTTTTTATAGAATCCATTATTAACTTTGACAGTAAGTTTTAAAATCTGCTTTACAGGAGGTTACAAGAAAAGTCCAACAGCCTAACAATTATCTAATTCGTATTCGCCATCAAAAAAAGGCCTGACATCTGAAAATATTCGTTTCTTCGTAAGACTTACCTGTTCGTCGTCTCGAATATTCATCGATTTGTGAATGCGTTGAGCCCTAGGCATGAGCACATATACTATAGAAAAGCAACAGCAAGAGCTGTTAACTTACCAATTTTGACATTAATGATGCAATTTTTTGTTGGCTTTCCATATTTATTTTCGATTGTATTTCTGTACTAACAACAGATTTCACTTTAACATCATCACATGTTATTGTATGAACCGTAGCTGAATGAGAACCTGATTGGGTTTGACCACTAGCCGTAGTATCAATTAATATTGGACTAGCCTGTTTCGGCGAATCACCATAACCAGGGATGGATGATCCGACATTTTGAACAAGAGCGTTTAGTACTGACATTGTTAAACTGAAAAAAGAAAAAAGTGGAACAGAACACTCACTTTGTAAGGTTAATAGTGATGATGCATCCTGAGAATAGCAATAAAAACACTCATGGAAGAAGAACTACTTTTTTGTCAAGGCTCAACTAGTACTTTTTTGACTAAGTAGTTATTCCTGTATACATCTAACATACACATGAATAGTTCTATCAATTTCATGGTGATTAAATCCCACTTGGAATCTATTAGTAAGCTGGATAGAAATCCCGAAGTGAATTACAAAATAAAATTAGCTCCTATGCTTATTTTCGATCAGTAAGATATACTTCTTCATAGGCCAATGACAGCTAAATTTCATTAACAAATCGTTACTTTTATCCAAAGTAAATGAAATATCTCATACCTCACTAACTAATAATTGTGAACCACGATGTAAATCTAATATTAAATACTTGTGTATCAACCAGATGTGGAGAATGACTATGGGTAAACAAGTTAACTGATCTTACTTCTCTTCTTTTATCTGTGCGTGCGTATGAATCTGTTTATATCTGAAACGGAAGATAATACAGAATAGAATTCGAAATGTGCGCATATAATAAGAAAGAAACGAACAAAGAAAATTTATGGTCACGATACATCAGGCGTCAAGTACAAAAGTTAAAAAGTCAAGCTCTACAACTAAAGCAATTTTTCGATTTTTTTATGTTGATTGTAACGTGCTTCTAACATTTGCTCTTGATGTATCTCAATCAAGAGTTATTAAGGCATACAAACGTATACAGACATTATACGAACTCCAAGCGCTTGTGCACAAATGCTTGAAGCATAGCATACATCTTGTACAATTTATTTGTTTTTAAAATAAAATCAACCGATCTTTCCAACACTTGAAATAGAGAAGCAATCTGAAAAGTACATCTCTACAAGCCTTTGCTTTTTGAACAACTTTGGAAAAACTCAACTTTTCAGGTTAAAATTTATCCCGAACTGGGGCTGTTTCTCAAAACAACTTAAGTAAACAGGAAATTATACTTAACTCTAATCCGTCCATCTGGGATCCGTGCGTATCCCAGACGAAAACGAGTGCTTTGAAGATATGCCTTGCTGCTCTGCCAGATAAATAATGAGTGAATGCAATCAGTTCATATTGATAGTACACCCTATTGTCATTCAGTGGAATATCAAGTGAAGCGGTAAAATCTAACCGTTGTGTTCAGACAGTATCCAAATGAAACCGGTAGAATTTGGACTTATTATAGGTGGTCGGATTAGGGTTAAGTATTTTTAAGAAACAGGCCCATGGCTTAGGTGGAACTACCAAGCATAGACATCATAAACCACGATGTAAAAATTTCAATTCAATCCTCTAGAAAAATCCAATGATGGAATTCTTAAAAAGTTGCAAATTGAAAAACTATACCAGTAATAATACTGGGATATGGTTAACTTTCAAACGAAAAAAAGTTTGTTTGAGTTTATCCTTACTTTTTATTGTTGTGAAAAAACCAGTTGACCATTTTATAACCCTAGAAAAGCTCTATCTTTTAGCTGTAGTTAAAATTGCTACTTTCACGTCCAAAAAATCTAAGATTATCCTAGAAGATGCTCAGTTTGTCTGATCAGACCACTTGTCACATACCTATAAGTAAAAAAGTCCTTGCCTGTTTTCCTAATCAGAACCTGTTTTTCGCTTGATCAGTGGAAGAAATCAACACTGCGAGCTTGTTGTATATATGCAAAAATTAGGTGTGCTGCTCGCTAATCGCTCATACTGCGCAGAAATCACTAGAAACCCAGAAAGTTCTGAAGATCCTCCGAAGACTTTTCAATGTAACCATCAGACTCGGAATATCGTTAGATATCTCTTGTTCGGCACAGAAATCGCTAACACATTACTCATCACCCAGAGATGGGCAACTCCGGCTAAGTTCAACTCCAACTCAACTCCAACTCCACTTAAAGAAGTTCAACTCCAACTCTAACTCCAACTCCGCAGATCCCAAGTCCAACTCCGTTTCAACTCCAATAGGACACATGTTAATATTGCTTTTATGTGACGTAACAAAACCAAAAAATTTTCAGAGTTGCAAAAATTTTTAACTCGAGTTGTGGAGTTGGAGTTGAAAAAATCTGAACTCAACTCAACTCTAATCAAATAAAAACGAAACTCCAACTCAACTCCAACTCCACTAAAAAGAAGCTCAACTTCGGAGTTAACTCCAACTCCGGAGTTGGAGTTGCCCATCTCTGTCATCACCTATAAGAAAGTTTGCTATTTTTCGAATAAGTGGTCACTACATTATATACTATACTGTAATTTGGAATTATTTTCTACTTTATAGAAAATCGATCCAACTTTTATAAAATCCTCAGTGATTTTCTGACCGTTTAGAAAATGTTGATTTTCTAATTTATAGAAAATCCGCCGATAAATTGACTTTTCTCATTTGCCAGAAAATCGATAAGGAATTTCTAAAAAGTTGGAAAATCGACAGTGATTTTCTATAAATAATTCCCAACATTGTAGAAAATGGACTCGATTTTCCAGATTCTAGAAAATCAAAATCGATTTTCTATAAATAAATCCCAGCATTCTTGAAATTCGACAGCGATTTTCTAAATAGTTGGAAAATCGAATTCGATTTTCTAAGAAGACGACTCAGTGATTTTTTTCTTGCTTCTATTACATCTATTAAAGCCTACACTGTAAAGTCGGGAATTATTTATAGAAAATACTCGACGATTTTCAAAAAGTCCATATATAAAATCCTCACGGATTTTCCAGATTATAGAGCATCGATTTTCTACATTAGCGGGAATTATTTATAGAAAATCGATGTCGATTTTCCACATTATTCGATTTTCTATAATCTGAAAAATCCGTGAGGATTTTATATATGGCCTTTTTGAAAAATCGCCGAGCATTTTCTATAAATAATTCTCGACTTTACAGTGTACATGACTTAGCAATACAAAACGGCGATTAGGAAAAAAAACCTAGCGGTGGTCTTGAATCTGTCCAGTGTCTGTTTCTCAGAAAACACCAAGATCAGACCAAAAAAGTCAAGACTAGACCAAGATCTACAGTTTGTCTGATCAGTAGAAAAATCAGTCCATCTTTATCTGGTCTTATCACTTTCTTGTTCTGACCTTGCTGACTAAAACAAGAAAAAAAACAGGAAACAGACACCTGTAAGTAAATAAGTCTTCACTCTGTTTTCAAGACCAGACAAACTGGTCATTCTCTAAAGTAGCTTCTTTTGATCATTTTTTTATCATGTACATGAGTTTATTTCAACGCATTTTACTAAATATAGCAATGACTAGAAAGAGCACACTTTGAATTGCAGAAAATTTGCTTTAATGCATTCTAGTGCTTGAGCAATCGTGTAGAAAAGGTCAAAACTTTGTATATAAATTTAAATATAATATCACTTTTTCTCTTGCAGCCCACCAGCTAAGAACCAGACACAGATAGTTTCGGAGCTTCAATTGTACTACTATCTTTTCATGTGTACGGGCGCTGCCTTAGCTAAAAGATGTTATTGCCAAGACTGCATCATCAGAGATTTGATATGATGTTGAGAAACGATGATGTTGTTAGCTGTTCAGAAGAAATTTTGTGGTAATGGGCAAATTTTGTGTTGCGAAGATGCTGAAATACGGGTTAAAACAAGCAAACAGTTAAAAAGTGGAGTAAAATTATTTCATAAGATCTTTAGTCAGCTGTTTTTCTTGACATTTAAATGGTAAAAGCGAGCCATACTTCTTAAAAAATCGTTTTAACACATTAATGAAATTTTCGGATATATACACTGTAAAGGAGAAAATTATTTATAGAAAATGCTGGGCGACTTTCAAAGAATCCATGTATAAATTCCTTGAGCATTTTCTAGTTTATAGAAAATCGAAATTTCCAGTTTATAGAAATTCCTCCTCGAATTTCCAGTTTTCATGTGAATTATTTATGGAAATTCCTTTTCGAATTTCCAGTTTCTTGGGAATTATTTATGGAAATTCGACAGCGAATTTCCAAGACACTGGAAATTCGAAGAGGAATTTCCATAAATAATTCACGTGAAAACTGGAAATTCGAGAAGGAATTTCTCGAGACTTTTAAATAACTCCGAAGAATCTTTGCAATTGTCGTGATATCGGCAGAAAGAAACTGCCACAGTCCTTGCTTTTCATTATTTGTATTTTAATAACACATTTATTGTCTCTACAGTAAAAAAATAAAACGCCACGCCTACTCTGCGAAAGAAAACAGAAAATAATGAATTTTTAAGATTTGTAAAAATAACAATAGAAAAAGAGAACCGGTAAAAATGTTTTTTATGTAATTAAATCAATTAATTCATTGGAAGATACTAAATAGGGATAAAAGACGAAATGATTAGTGGCATAAGAGAGTATTTCATGTGCTTCTTTCAAAGAAGCACATGAAATACTATCTTACACTTTCGGAGAGCACTGATTACTGATCCGTGGTACGTGCTCTCCGAAAGTGTAAGATAAAGGAATGACAGTTTTTCACAAAATGCATTGTACAAAGTAGAGTAGAGCTCATACTACCTCTATTTGAATTGTAAGCACCTACTCTCTTAAAAGTTTGTTCAAAAAAGGGGAGGAAGAGCGTTTTCGTTAAACTAGCTCATTCTTTTTCTAAAAGCCCGTCATCACCGTATTTTTAAATTAGAAAAAACTTTTCATGTCATGACAATTCTCGTCTTCATCAATATACTTTCGGAGATATTCTCTCCTGTATTCAGCAGATGTACGATGTCGAAAACAACAGCAAAAAAAATACACCGTCAGGAGATCATGGCGTCACAACACTCAGCAAAGACAGAGCGCAGTTTTCTTCAACACAGAGACAACTTGTAAACAAGAATCCAAAATTTAGGAGAAGTAAGCGCTACAGATACGAAGCTTGATGCTCGGAGCATATTTTTCCGTCGTAAAACAGCTTGACAGCAGTCAGCTCTTTCGCGCTAGAGATCCCTTCCATGGCTG